TGCTTGTTGACTCCGGTATCACGTTAGTTAAAGACTTCGATGCTTAAAATGTTTAGGGAGAAATGGAATACTGGTGTGTATGTTTTCTTTAAAGTACCGAGACCAGCCATATACTGTATGTTTAAGTTCCAAAATTAATTTCGTTTATGGCCTTCACACGCGTTACAGAATGCTCCTATTCTTTTTATGCTCCTCTACTAAGATTTCCCTTCAGTGGTAAAATTCCATATGAATATTCAATACTACAACGGGCACAGTAAAGACGTTTACTCTAAATCTTTCTACGACAGACCGACGGACCACGAGTGCCCCTGTCGGTCAACCAATCACGTACCGCGGTACCGCGCGTCATCAAGCTTCACAATGTGCGACGCCGTAGCCAATTACCTCCGGTACGTGTCTGTACCGCGCACTTTGAATGGCTGCATCTGTAATATACCCTCATCCTATTAGAACTTTTGTTCCTAAAAACTCTGATATCAAACTAAAAAGATAAAAAAAAATTATATAAAAAGACTGACCTAATTGATTTAATTGAAATCCTGCCAATAATTGGGTCAAAAGTAAGAAGAGGTTGGTTATCGTCCGTTCAGTTGCAGGTCTCTAATCGCAATAAGTGTCCAATTAAGACAAGTTCTTGCTATTTCTAACCTTGCTGGATATCTAACCACTTTGCACTTGATTTCATTATGATGCATAACACAGCAGCATTACACTCACAGAACTGTAGAGCTTGTGATATGAGCTCACATAAAGAAGGAAGAACTTTCAGAAGAGCTCCATCCCCCCAGAAAGACAAAAGTTTCTTACAGATTTCACTCTCAGTGGCTGTGGCTGCTTACATTCCCACCAGCTCTGGTTTCTTCCGTCATATTATAAAAAGAACATAGGGGACAGAGTAAATTTGTATCAAAATCAATCAAATCTGTTTTTTGAGACGAACAGCTGCCATTTGTTTGTATGATGCAGTGAAACAAACATTACTTAAATGACTACTAAATGAAATGTCACTACATTTTTGTTAGGTTTTCATAGTGTGAAATATATGTAAATGTACAATTGATAATATGATAGGTATTCTTGACTTTTACATAGCCCTCTTAGGATATGTGAAATTATAGATCGTTTTTATGTATAATTTGTTATTACATTGGGACTTTATTATGATTCCTTCAATATTCACATTGCATTAATTAATTAAACAGGAACTAATCAGGAGCACAACGAAACCCCTCTGCCAGAAAAGTAGTTAGGAATGGTGTGCCTTTGGTAAAAACACTTGTTCACATGTTCCACATTGTCAATGGAAAGCTGAATGTATTCCCTTCACCCTGGAGATTCTAGCCCAAGGAGGCAGAGCTGTATTTTCTGAAGGTGGGACAGAATTAAGATGTTTATCAAGTTCTTTGAATCACCAGTACCATCTTACATGTTCTACTAGTGAGCAGAAAGACTTGTAGCTCATTTAATCTTTTTTTGTTCTTTTTTTGTACTTTTTGTTAATCGCTGAGAGAATCTATCCGGGTGGGAGGAGAAAGACTGGTTCTCAGGCTTTCCATCATATGATGAGCAGTTTTTAGCTGACCATTTCTTCTCCATTGGAGCTCTATAATTTCTGTTAAATATCTGCCATTATCTCCAAGTAACATGGTTAATCTAATTAGCATTCTCTTTTTTTATTTTGGTTTCAGGAGAGAGTGCTGAAAGTAATTGAATATCCTACTTGGAGTCCAAGGAGGGGACAGAGCGGGATCTCTGTAGACAATGCGGTGAAGTGGAAGGGAAGGAAAGATACGAGAGAACCTTTACCCCCCTCCCTCCCTTGATCCCTTGCCCCACCCCAGACCCCCCACTTCCTCCCCCTCTGCTGTTGAAGATGCACTGTATGGGATTGTGAGGCGGCAACACAAGTGCTGACAACACACCGGTGAAGCGAAGATGCGGCCATGGACAGGTTCGTGGCGCTGGATCATGCTTATCCTTTTGGCCTGGGGGACCCTGCTCTTCTATATTGGAGGCCACCTAGTCAGAGACAATGATCACCCCGACCGTTCCAGCAGAGAGCTGTCCAAAATCCTGGCCAAGCTAGAGCGCTTGAAACAACAGAACGAGGACCTCCGCAGAATGGCTGAATCTTTAAGGTAAAAGTTTAGCTTTGCTTTTTCAGGGCCTAGTGGTTGTAAAGTCCCTTTATTAAACTTATATGTGAGCAATTGGGTACCTTTTAATGAGAAATAAGACTTTTAAAGTATCCTCCCTGTGTAGAGATTAGCTTCTGAAATTGGAAATACATGCTAGGCCAATGATTATCCTTAGAGTACAGATCAAGAAGGTCATTTGAAAGTTTTTGTGAGGTACAAACAATGAAGCAGAAGGTTTGGATTTAACCTGCTAGACATCAACTGTCACAACCTGGTTCTTTGTAAAGGGTAGTCAGGTGCAGTGCAGAAAACATTGGAAAATGACAGAAAAGTCTGAAGTCCTAAATTTTTGCCCTGGTAAATTTACTGAATTTCCATTATTAACTTTGTTAACTAAGAAAACAAGAGAATGCCATTCAGTAGGTCTTGTTGGTTTGATGGTGATGGCAGTTCTATCTACTCATGAGAATGATGCAAAATATGGGAAGGTCACACATATTGTTCTACATGTAGAGATGCCACCCACCACCTAGAATGTGCGCCAAAACTTAGAGGTAATACATTTGTAATAAACTTAGAGGTTATGTGTGTGTGGACTGGACATCTCCTTATTAAAACTCCTCCTAAAGATCCTTTATTTAAATACTATCTATGCAGCCATTTAGAATGTGCACCAAAACGTTTGTAAGTGGTAAGCAAAGTTTCGGCATGGCGAATTTAGTGCTTCACTGCCCAAAGAAGATGGATAGGGAGATTTGCATTTGTGATATATTAGATTTTAGTGAAACAGTGTCATCTGTTTTACTTTTCTTAAAGTCTACTTAATATGGAATATTAATATGAAATTGTTTAATTAAAGAGAATTCTTGGTAACTGAAAATAGAAGTAACTGAAAAATAACATTATTGATATTGATGCATTCGTATAATATTTATATATATATAGCTGGTAGTAGTAGCTAAAAATAAAAAAAATAAAGTAGCCAACAGTATTCCACTTTCTTCATAACCATTTTCTGCATCAAATTCTTTAACTCTGTCACTTGCTGTAGTTAATTTTGGAATGATTCAATGTAATGTTTTAACTACATTTCCCATAACACTGGCAAGGTTTACATAAAAAATAATAAATAACATATACCTGAAGAGGCAAGACAAGTAATGTAGGAAAACCACCAAAGGTGAAGAAGGAGCTTGTATTTCTGGGAGATGTAGTTTTCCAATATTTTTTTTTTCCAAGTAGTTTTTAATCGGCTTTCTCACATGTCATTTTGGAATTATCTGTTCCTTCTTTGATCAATTAACTTCTTCATTACACATCCCTCCAAATATGAACATTTGTTTTTACACGTTTTAGAATTCAGTGATATTAGTCAATTTGAAATGAAATAATTAATTACAGTTGTCCACTGTTACTCTCATGTAATCTGTGTTACCTTCATGTCAGCAATCATACTTACCGTATAAATTTATTTGTCTAAAATAAATAGTATTTTAATTACATCTATTTTGTTTGGTTTGCATTACACAAAAAAGGAATATTATATAATTTGCTAAAATGTATGACAATTTTCATTTTAAAAGTGAATTTTGTGTTAGAAAAAGATAATGATTTTTTGTGATTTAATTTTTTCAATAGATTGATATATGTTTAATCTACAGTATATTCCTCTTAAAATAAAAACAAACTTAACATAAATAAAAATAACATGGGTAAAGAGAAAATCCGTGAGATTAGAGGAGAGAGCATTTTCCTCCCCCTGCTCCAAATGAGGTGTCTTTATCATGTAAATTGACCCATTGGTGTTTTTTTTTTTTGTCAATGGACAACAGAGCTACCATACTTGGAAGGGGAATATAGTGAACAATGTGTTTATTCATTTCCCTTACACATTTTGTTATTGTTTTTATGTGAACGGTATAGAAATGCAGAACAGAAGTGTATGAAAATGTACCAGTTTCAGAAAATAATAAAGTCTGTTCAGTTAATGTCTGTGTTCTGCCGTTCTGGGTTTTTCCCAGTTCCGTAAAGATTCACTTTAATCAGTTCCCTAAAAATTCAGTGAGCACAAGAGGTTCTGTTTAAAGTGCATAAACCTTACATTTGCCACAGTTTATTTATAATATGTTGTTTTTAGTATATTTCTGAGTAATTTATGAAAGTTTTAATTCACTGTTTTTTATTAATATTGTTTTATTTTCAAGTTTCAAAATATTTTCTGGTTCTACAAGAAATTATAACATCAGTCATTTTAATTATCACGCTATAAAAATATAGCTTTTTATTTGGTTTGTGGCACTACATAAAAAAAGAGAAAAAAACATTTCACACTCTCCAACACATTCCGTCATCCAATCAGAGTGACACGTTGGTGGTTAAGTGGTAGAATTATTTTCTGGGTTAGATTCCTGGCCATTACACAGGCTGTACTTTCTTTAACAAATGGGGCTAATGAAGACTCTCTATAGTAATAATATTACAAATAGTATGGATGATATATTAATATATTTTTTTAATTTTCAGATTAATCAAAGTATGTTCAATATTAAATAATATAATTCTAAATGTAGTAATAACCTTGTATTAATAAATTGTATATTTATAATTATAAATAAATGGAATCACCTTTTGAATCAATATTGCAATTGGCTTGAATAATAGAATACAATGTAATAGAAATGCATTAATTTAACAATGTATCTGATTTGTAGTCATCTGTAATAAATCAAACATACAGGTTGTGAGAATAAAAGCATGTTTAGGTAGTAACAGTGAAAAGCAGGGCTCATAATGTTTTTTGCAAGGACAAACTTGCAAAAGTTCTTCACCATAGTATAGAATTGAGAACCTTGCTATAGGGTAAAGTAGTAAAGAAAACCTGCTTTAAAAGTTTTTAAAATCCCATCCGTCTATTCAATTATTTTATTAGTGAAGAACTTTTTTCACCTGTTTAAATTAAAAAAAGGACTGCAGTACTGAAAAAAATTCCAATTCCAATACAATATGGAGATATTGTATTCAAAATGTGTTTAGTTATCAAATAAAAATATTTTCAAATATTACTTAAGTCTTTATTTGTGATATGGTAACATTGTTGTTTTGCAGATTTGCTGACTGGTTAGTCAACTTATATTGTCCCCCTAAAAAACAAACAGTATTTATTTTTTCCTATTTCCTGGTACTTTCCATTTTTATGTGTAAGGATTGCATTAAAAATAGTACAATACCAGTCTTTTAATGCAGGAAGTTGCTCATTGTAATGTAGCTTGAAAGATAGGTTGAAACTTTAAACTTCTATGGAATTGCATATTTATTTAAAATATTTAGAATTAATTAAAATTTAATTAAAAAATATTGACACAACTAATATGTATTATGCTAGTTAAATATTTTGTAAGAAAATGCAATTGTTCCCTAATGTTCCTATTTAAGTCTAAAATGACTTGCGGTTACATTTGGATGTTGGAGACAGATTTAATGTTTCCTTTCACACAAACACACAAAAATAGTGTAAAAGCAAAAGATCCACCCCACGCCCACCACCTCAACATACTGAGAATGCTATCCAGAGTGAATTACTAATAATAATATATTCTGTCTTAAATGATCGGTTTCTATACATTAGTGTTAGATTGAAGCCATTGGAGATTGGTAAGCAATTGTGATTTAGTTTCCCGCTACTTGATTCCTGTGTCACCAACTAGATTAGAACATCAGGGAAACTGAATCTCTGTTATCTCATATCTCATATTTTTATTATATTTTATTTGATGTTTTCAGTTTTATGTAATCAAGTTAGAGGTTTTGTGTGTGTGGATTGAACATCTCTTTATTAAAACGCCTCCTAAAGATCCTTTATTTAAATAGTATCTGTTACCAAAATGCATTTTTAGTAAACTTCGCTTTTTGTTTAAGCATAATTACACACAAGCTAGAATACGGCATAACTGCTATGTACATGAGTTAATACTGCAACAATTATTATTCAATAGGTATTAATGCAAAAATGTTTGCGTATGACCATATAAAGCTGAATACCACAACTCAAAATAGGATCTGTATGGCTGCGTCTGTAATCTAGCAGCCTCAATAGTCCAGATTTCTGATGTTAATCCACATGACTGACATGATGGCCATTAGTATGTAATTATTATTATGTAATATAATTATTATACTTCTGGGCTCAGTAATTGTTCACATTGGGTAGACAGACAAGCCTTTACTAAAATTAAACTTAAAATAAAAAATAAAAAATAAAACTAAAATTAAACATGCCTTCACCAAAATCAAATTTCTCATTGTGATGTGCTAAAAAGATGCATTTTATGTGCCCTGAAGCTTTCTGTTTTTTAGCCTCACTGAATGTTTTGGTGTGTTTAGAAAAAGAGCAAAAGTGATTAAAACCAATTTTCCCATAAGAACTTTCCCCATAATGAAAGGATGTGTCAGAATCCATTAAAAAATTTTTTTGCACACCATGACACATAATTAAGCAACACCCATTAAATTTTGATGAAATCATTCCTAGGATCAGCCCCATAGACAGACTGTTCCTGCTAGAGCACTTTATCTCTGATGGTTGGGCTGGTTAGAGATGAATGAGATAGATAAGGCTGGAGACAGGAAGGAAAATAGGTGCCACCAGTGGCTTGAAAGAAAAGATCTTTATGTGCCTTTTCAACATCTTTGATAAAAGTGGTGCTCCATTTTTCTATTGCAGGTTAGAAAACCTGAAAAATTAGCTGTATGCATGCTTATATCTATTTTATTGTGCTACGATATGTCTTTAAAAATATCAGCCTGTTTCAAAAGCTAACCATGTGTACTAGTAATGCACCATGAACTTTGCCATTGTCTACATACTCACCCATTCTTAAATGTTTAGAGAACTTGAATTATTATACAATATTATGTTTATATAAAGTATTGTGTTAAGTTTTATGCTCAGGTGCAAGGTGGTGGGAAGGATCTGTAATAAAACCATGTAGTCTTTAAATTCA